TTAATGTGATTTGCTGTTGATCAAGCTTTTTTTATCCAATCCCATCAGGTAGGTTACTCCAGTTGTTTGTGATTAGATTTATGGAACTTGGCACAAAATTTTAAACATTTGTTCAAAGGGTAGTGTGTTACCAGGCACTCCGTTGTTATCAACCGAAACTTGAATTGGTAATAATTAAGGTAGATAATTAAGGTAGATAATTGATCTTGCCCCATTAATATTCATTGTAGAGATTTGTAGATGAACATCAAATTTCATACAGCAGCAATTCTGTTCTCTTTTCTTTTTGAAACCTCGGTAACTGTAACCTTTTTACTTGTGGTTTTGGTAATTGTTGATCTGTTGTTGCCTTCAATTGTTGTGGATGAACTTGTAAACGATTCGTCTAAAACTGGAATCACTTTACTAACCATTTCAATTTCATCTTTGGCTGAACTTCGGTAACCATTATGATGACCATTAGTCAGAGGAATACCATTGATTTCGGGAGTGACCAAGATTACTCCAGGATGACCTTTTTTGATAGTCTTTACTTCAGTTTCATTATCTATACTTTTATTAACATCTTTATTCCTTTGATCAACCTTTGGCAGATTAGCGGATAAATTTTCAACTGCAGCAGCACTTATGTGACTATTGATATTATTTTTGACTACATTTTGGTTTTGATCGACATGACCTTTGATTACCCAAGATTCAATGTCTTCAAGAACAGATAATCGGCGGTCCCTATAAAAATCTGAATTAGTTGTTGCCGTTTCATCGCTCATAAATGAAGAAATGGATGGATAACGATTGATGTTAGCATCAATATAAGAGATTTGCCCATCAACGGCATCAATTCGTGGATCAGCTTTTGTTTTATTGTGTTTTTTTGAAGTAATTGCAGCTTCTTTAACAGGCATGAGACTTCTAATTGGTCCAAATAATCTGCCTACTTTGACTTTGGGTTTAGATTTAGCTTTAGCTTTAGCTTTAGAAAGATTTTCTGAAAAAAGAAGAAAAAATAAGATTAGTTGAATTATGACTGAAAATTCTGATCAATAGATATTATAAGCATTAACAGTTTTAAAATAGACGAGTTTTGAAGCATAAAATAGCAGCAAAAATTCAACAAGATTTGATTAAAGTGATGTAATTATCAAAAATTTCAAAGTGAATCACACCAACAAGA